TTGGCAAAGTTGCTAATCCTGCCCTGGTGACCTGGTGCTAATTCCCTAATACCCACTAGTTGGAATTTAGGATGCAACTTGTATCTCAGCCAAGACAAGTGATAAATGGGAAGGGAGAAAGAAAAGAAATAGTAAACTTCTCAAAAATGATTAATGTCACCACTTTTTGGTGGTGCCAAGCAGATGGCCTATTTTGAACTCATAGGGAAATATATACATAATCAGTTCCCAAAGAATAAGCTTCAAAATAAAAATAAGAATTTCTTCTAAGCCCTTATTCCAAGCTAATAACATTTGTACTGTGACCTTTGCCAACTAATTTCTCCTTAAGTTAGAACGAAGTCTTTAGTGCTTTTTCTGAGTGGTTATTTTTGACTTCCTAGGCAGACTCGTGAACCATCTCATGCACTTACTTTTTATTCTTATTAGCACATGTTTGCGAGACATAATGATTACATTCTTTGTAGGTAGCTGGTGCCTTCTTTTATACCATAACATTTATATTGGAGTTCTAGTGGTTTCTAGGTTGCAGACTAGTGTTTGCTTTTCTCATTGTAATGAGTTTCTGTTGTGTGTCAAATTATTTACACTAGTTGAGATCCTATTTAACACATACTTTAAGGTTTTAAATGTTATTAGAGGATCATAAATTAGAAAATGCTATTAACAGAATTTTTTACACATTGTTTCTAAATTCTCTCTTACCTTTCAAAACAAGCACTTTTTTCACACTAGGCCACAGTAGATGTTAAAGAGTATCTCCAGCCTCTCAGTTTCTATCTTTGGTGGCAAACTTGAGTATCCTTCCAAAGATTCTTTCACATACCCAAGAAAATAGGTATATATATTCTTTGATTTCCTTTTCCCACACAAATAGTAGCGTGTGTTTCACACTGCAGTGTTCCTTGCTCTTTGCAATTAACCCTCCATCTTTTTGAGGGGAGAGTGGTGCTGGGGATTGAACACATGGCCTAACTCCTATGGTTTTCCCCCAGCCCCGACTTTACCCTCCGTCTTGAAGATCAGTAGTCTGTGTCCGGCTACACAACAAGCTTCTTTCTTTTTCACATATATCTGGTATACCAACAAATGGATACTTTAATGAATCCCCTATTAATGGACAGTTGGGTAGCTTCCAATCTCTTTGAATGGTGACCTTGTATTGAGTACTAAGCTCTGTTCTCTGTGCTTCTCATACATCATTTTATTTAATCCTCAGTGCTGCAAAGAAAACCTTTCACATATAAAACTTCACAGAGATGTGTATCTCCCTTTCTGTATATATGTATAGTACCTGAATATACATTATGCATATGAATATCACAATATGGCTTTAGTTTGCGTTTCTCTTATTATGAGTCATTAAACCTTTTTTCATGCAACTTTTTTTTTTTTTGATTTTTTGAGACAGGGTCTCACTATGTAGTTGAGACTGCCCTGGAACTCACTATGTAGCCCAGGCTGGTCTCGAACTCACAGTGATCCTCCTGCCTCAGCCTCCCGAGTGCCCAGCCAAACCTTTTTTTTAAGCAAGTCTTTTATTGGTACATTTTAGATGTACATAATAATAATGCTCATCATAGGGAATTTGCACCTGTACATGATAGATCCTGCCTCTTCTTTATTTCCCATTCTCCACTCCCCTCAGCACCCTCCTCTCTACACATAAAAGCTTTGTTTCCATTTTTTCTATGTTTACTTTTTTTTCTTCATTCTTTTCCCCCTCCCCCTCCCTTGTTCCCCTTCTCATTTGAGTATTTTCTTCCCATTTCCTAATATCTGTTGTACATTTTATTTTATTGGTCTTTTTTTTTTCTTTTTTGTTGCTAGGAATTGAACTCAGGGCCTCCCACTTGCCAGGCAGGCACTGTACCACTGAGCTACGTGCCCAGCCCTACTATTTATTTTTGTCCTTATTTCCACTTTCGGTTTCTCACACCAGAGAAACAATGTGGTCTTTAAACGTGTGTGTCCGATTTATCTCACTTAAGTGTGTGGTCTCAAGGTGCATCCATTTAGGTAGAAATGTGTCAAGCTCATCCTTTATGGCAGAGTAGTACTCCATTGTATAAAAAAAAATCCCCATCTTCTTTATCAGTGGTTGATGGGCATTTGGGTTTAAACATCCTTATAAGCCAGAACAACTTGAATGTCTTTTTCCTATGAAATAATTTTTTCTACTGACTTGCCTTAATAATTAGTAAGTCCCCTGATAGGGGAATTAGACATTGCCTATGATATGAATTGAAAATTTTCGTTACGTTTTGCTTGTAAAATTTTTGCCCCCGGGCTGGGCATGGTGGCGCATGCCTGTAATCCCAGCACTCAGGAGGCTGAGGCAGGAGGATTACAGTGAGTCTGAGACCAGCTTGAGCTACATAGTGAGTTCCAGGTCAGTCTCAACTTCATACTGAGACCCTGTCTCAAAAAACCACCCCCAAAAGTTTTTTGCCATGCAGAATTTGAAAAGTTATATAATCGAATTTATCAACATATTTGGTTTCTAGTTTTATGCCATTGTCAGCCTGAGATTGAAAACAGAAAAGTCTCGTGTTTTTTGTTTGGTACTTATATGGGTGTTTGTCTTTTTTATATTTAAAGCTTTGATCTGTTTGAAATTTATCTTGGTATGAGGAGTGAAGGATAAATTCAGTTTTGTGCTTTTAGATGGCTATCCAGTTTAATTGATTCTGATTACCCTCTCACAAATTAGAGGTGCCACCTTTTATGGTAAGCTACGCTCTGATAGCAACAGAATTTTAGAATGAGGAGGTGCATATTATTTAACTAATGTCAAGTTTGGATCTTCTCTACTTAATAGCCAAGCTTTCTGAGAAAGTAATTATTGAGCTTGTTATTTTCTACTGAAAAAAAAACTAGATATCAAACGTGTGAGAGTACATTATCTGAATAGAAATGTGTATGGCTTTAAGCAAAAGAAAGAAATTCAGAGCAAATAAAAATGCAGAGTTGGAATTATTTAATCAGATCAAGAATGATCTCAGTTTTGTTTTATGAAAATGGATAGGCAGTTGTGTAGTGGAAAGAATACTGGACTAGGAGACAAGTGGCCTGTCAGCCTTGTTTTGGTTTTGCCTTTTTATCTCCATGTTGTATCTTCATAATTAAATAGTAATGATAAACACTTAGAACATTGCTTGGCCTACAGTAAATGGTATCTGTTTATTAATCATTCTGTCCATGTAATTAGTACTTTGTAATTTGTTATAAATCATCAAATGTTAAATATTGTTTCTAAGAAAATGTCAGCCACAGACCCTGTCTCAGTCAAAACAAAACCCAGAAGTAGATTCAATATTGTTATGAGCCACATATATGCTATAAATTAAATGGCTACAGAAATGAGGAACGAGTATCCAGGAGAACCCGCCGCCTCGGTCCCTTTGCATATGCAATTCCCTTGGTCTGAATGCCCACCTCCCAGGACTTAAATGTTTATGCTTCTTTTCGTTAAGGACTCTTATCACGTGTCTTGTCATCTCGTGGCCTCTCTTCCAGGTAGAATTATCCCTTTAGGCTTCTGACTCTGACACTTTATATAACTTGGTATGTATTATGATAGTGGTAGCTTCAGTATTTTTGTCTCATCAACTAGACTTGAACCTTTTGAGAGCAAGGCCTGTGCACTATTTCATCTTTATATCTCTGCTCAGCTGCTGATGTACACCCGGGCATATAATAGACGTTTAGTTGAAAGAAAAATATAAAAATGTGACTACACAGTTATACAGGATCCTGTTTGATAAAACGGCATTAATAGGAATCAACATATTAGCCCTGATAGCTGGTAAAACCAAATTTATTCATTGGTTGTATTTCTCTCTGAATGTATGAGAACCTGAACCCAAGGTAGTAAATGGGTTTATAACCTATTTTAAATGTGTGATCTAAGGAGTGAAAAAACAATTTCTGTAATTGTGTGTTTGACTTAAGAGTCACACTTAAGGTGCTTGCTAAATTCAAATGAGATTAGAAGATAAACATAGAAGTACCACACTACCACACTTGACATTCAGACTTTTTCTAGTTACAACTATTTGGAGCATATTCATGGATGCAAGAAGAATCCAAAAATGCTTCTGAAGTTGGAAGAAAAGAGCTCTCATAAAGCCTGTGTACTTGACACGGGGGAGGGGGTGGTATTGCTAGGCACGCCAAAGCCTACTTTTGACTGAATCTTCATAGAAAACTCAAAGAACTACTTAGCAAGCATGGCTCCTAAGCTTCAAGATATTTTAGCTTGTCTTGAGTTTCAGTTAAAAAAAAAGATTAAAAGAACTCTCCTACCCGCTGCTGCCAAAGGCACTAAATAAAGCCTTGTTGACATGAGTACAAAACTGAGTCTCCTGTTTTTCTCCCACAAATCATGGAAAATCACTTTTTTCAGTTTTAGTCTTTAAGAATTCTGATGGGCTCATATAAAGTGAGTTTTGACAATACTTGGTTTTTTTTCTACTTTTTAAAAATCTTGAGTTTTAAAAATGATGTCCCTTTGATCTCACCATTTTGTTTGTTTGGTGTTTTGTTTTCTTTTGTTTTGTTTTGTTTGAGACAAGGCCTCATTGTGTAGTTCAGGCTGTCCTTGAACTCACTATGTAGCATAGGCTGAACTCAAAATCATGGCAGTCCTCCTGCCTCAGCCCCCGAAGTGCTGGGATTACAAGCATGTGCCACCACATGCAGCTGATCTTACCTTTTTGAAAGGAGATGATTAATTTGTAAAAGTCTTTATTCCTTTATTCAAGTACTTGTGCAATTTATCATAGGTTGAATCCGGAGCATAAAAGGAGTATGTGCAAATTTTCTTTGCATAATTTGGAATAAGCTATATAATAAAGCCAAGTAGAAAGGTCAAGAGGCATGTTTTGGCGATTTGAAGAACTATTTTCATGGATGTTAAACATGTTTTTTGTGGAAAGACTGTAGAGTAATGAAAATCAATATCATTCAGTTTCTTTTCTTTCTCCTTCTGTTTCTAGATTGCCAAAATGCTTTGGAGTTTTTAACTGAATCTAAGAAAAGTCCAAAATAGATTTGAGACTATAAAACCGAAGCTGCAGCAAAGGGCGATTCAGTGCCAATGCATCAACAAAAAAGACAACCAGAGTTAGTGGAAGGAAATCTTCCTGTTTTTGTGTTTCCCACGGAGCTCATATTTTATGCAGATGATCAGTCAACACATAAGCAAGTGTTGACTCTGTACAATCCCTATGAGTTTGCCTTAAAGTTCAAAGGTGAGTCTCCTAGATCAATCTTACAAATTTTTAACTAGTCCCTACTAATTTTTTACTTGTAGAAACTAGTTGTTTTAAAACCACTAATGGCCATTGTGACTTTTTCTTTCAGTTTTGTGTACTACTCCAAATAAGTATGTTGTCGTTGATGCTGCAGGTGCAGTAAAGCCTCAGTGTTGTGTGGATATGTAAGTCAAAATCACTTCCTGGTAACACATTTTCAGCATGTTAATATTTATGTTTTTAACTTGAAAAAGACCTTTTCATGAAGCTTATTCCTACATAAGTCATTTATGATCTTTGGATTTTTTTTTCTTGCTGAAAATTTATCTATCAAAATTTAAGACATTTCTAAGAGACTCTAAACAAATCAACCAAATAATAATATTTCATTATGTTGGAGCTAATGTATATGTCAGTCGTTCCTTGAATACTTCCTCAATGTGGTTTTGGTTGAAGCAGAGGTGTTGATGAAGGCCAAGTTCTGACTTGTTCCTTTCAATTTCTCTAACTATAATAGGGATTTTAGCTTTCTTTGGAACATCCTGCTATTGCTGTGACATTTGGGAAACTAGTAATTCTATGGTGTAAAAACAATGGTAATAGAAGTCTTCGAAATGATGCAGCTAGTAAGCCTGGAAGTTAGTGTATATAAACAGGAAGCAAGGGTGTAACTACTCATCTGTAAAAGGTTGTCTGAGCGCTTCCAGATAATTTCGTCTTAGAGTGTCAGATAATGATTGTTTGTTCAACCTGTTCATATTTAATTTTCACTTTAGAACTAGTGGTGACCATATGGATCCATTGACCAGCCCTTATTTTAAGCCATCAAGTAAACTGTATTTATTAAAATCTTCTGTGAGAAAGGAGCTCTTTTTCTTGAATATATTGGCATCATCTCAAAGCCATAAGTTGATGTATATTTGAAAATGTGTTTTTACACATTTCTGTGGATTTTCATTCAGTACACAGTAAGCAAGTACTGTTCCCAAAAAAGTAGCCTTGGCACATTAATGTGTTATCTTTGATTTAATTGCTTTGTGTTCACTAGGAAGAACAAAGTACAATAAAAGGAATTGCAGAAAACGCAAAAATTGCGGTGCTTTATACTCTTTTTCTCTTTACAAACGTACAGAAGAGTATTATTAGCCCTCTGTTACATTACTCATAGTGGACTAGCTTTTCATACAGTTATTTATTTTTACCTGTGTGTAAACCAGTTCTAAGTCTTAGGTGAGTTTTGTTAGTTGAAGAATAAATTAGTGGCAATGGAAATTTAAGTATGCTTTTTTTTTTAGATATGCTTATATGGGTATGCAATTTCATATATTCCTATTTAAGATATATTGCTTTCCACAGATATCCAAGGAAAAAAATCAGTTAAAGGGAATTTACTTATTCTTTTACTTCAGACTTTTCAATAGTTTAGAGTATGTGCTTTCATCTGATATTTCAGAATTACTCCTTTAGGGTTATGCTATGATTTTTTTTGTTTTGCATCATTAGTAATTTTGGGGATTTGAGTAATTGGTTATAGTCAGTTAATATTTTTTTCAGTTAATATTATTTTACTGTGTTAAGATCTCCTATTTCGTTCTGTTTGACAGACCCCCAGAAACCTAAATAATATTTGTTATTTTTTTGCCATTTTCAGTGTGATTCGTCACAGAGATGTTCGATCCTGTCACTATGGTGTAATAGACAAATTCCGTCTCCAAGTTTCCGAGCAAAGCCAGAGGAAGGCTTTAGGAAGGAAAGAGGTTGTTGCTACTCTTCTTCCATCTGCAAAAGAACAACAAAAGGAAGAAGAGGAAAAAAGAATAAAGGAACACTTAACTGAAAGTTTATTTTTTGAGCAGTCATTTCAACCAGGTAGTATTGGGTTCTTTTTAAAGCCCTTTGGGGTTTACACATTTCTAAAATAAAAATCATCAGAGCTAAGAAAATGTACTAGAAAGTAGATGGATCTACTACTTTATACCTAGTCAACCACTTCAAAATTGAACCTAGAGACTAGGATACCCGAAAAAGAGCAAGAGGACTAGAGCTTTTAGAAGAGAAGCTAGCCCCCGGTAGACTAGGCAATACAGAGAGGGCAAACGTTGCACCCTAATTTATATCTATATATTTTATAATATAGGTATATATAGATATATAGTATAAAAGCTTTTTATATTTATAGCACTACATATGTAAATATGAGTATGTATAGGTTTTATATTTAAAGATTATCTACAAAATATATGAAATTGGAGACTACAGGCACATTTTATGATGCTGGCACAGTATGGCAATTATATACTTTTGTTTCTATGACTTTCTTATATCCTTTCTCATTTAATTAGTTCAAAGAAGGAGAGAGATTGTGTTTGGCAACAGGCCAAGTTTATTGCACTGTTCATATGATTTTGAAAAAAAATCTCATTAAAGTTGAAGTTAATTAAACTAAGTAGATTATAATATCCCCTGTGGGCTATTAATTGAATCCCTCTCTACTTCTCATTTCCTTCTAGCTTAGATATTCTAAGTGTTATGATATATTCTTTCAACATTGACAGTATCCTCATATTCAACTCTTAGGACATCATTCCCCCTCCCTCCCAATTTCTCATTATCTCTCTCTACACCTATTATAAGAGGAGGGAGATAAAATTTTCCATAGAAAAACAAGCTTTTTTGATAGTGTTATATGAATGTGACAACAGCTGTCCTTAAAATCGTAGCATATTACATGTGAGGGATTTTTTTCAACATCCACTTGTCATTACATTAATTCATAGACCCGTATCAGTCTGTTCATCTTCAAATGTTTTCTTACTGTAGCCATGTCTGTCTTATCAGTCCATGCAGAGAGGGTCCAGATTTCCTGGTGATACCAGGACTAGGGATGAGATAGTAGCTAGTAGATTGTTTCCTTCTCAGCAACTGTTATTAATTGTTAGGACCATCTTTTGAGGAAAAAGAACATTTGCCGAATGTATTTTTGACAGATCAATATTGTGAAACTGACTTACTTAGGAAATGCAGGATTCCCCCTTGAAAATGCCCCCCCAGGAAAGAAAAGCCATTTGATGACTATTTTTGATGTTATATTCATAATTTAAAGTAAAGGAATTATTGAAGCTAATTTTGGACTTAAAAGACTAGTTTAATAGCCAAGAATAACTCAGAAGTGTGTCTATGTGGATATAAGGAGAAATTATTGTTATTTTTTTAGTTTCTTAGAATTCAAGTGAAAATCACCCTAAAAGACTGAATAATTATAACATATATCACTCTTATTTTATAATAAACATTGGCATCTATAGTATTTGAGAGAATTTTTATTGTAATGTTGAAACAGGTAGATGAATTAGTATGGAGGATATTGGCCAGAAAACATAGTCGTCTCTATTTTGGGGAAAAAATGTCTAAGCTTTTTATGTCAGGAAGCTCGCTGAAGACAGGCTCCTTATTTGTCTTGTTCACCATTATGTCCTCAGTACTAGCATAGCGCCCAGCACAGATTGGTTACCCAGTAAATACATGAATTGGCTGACTAGAGCCCTTTAAGTGTGATGGTGACCTAGTCTGTGTGGGCAAAGTGATATGTTTTAACTTCTCTTGTCTATTAATTTATATGTGGTTCCTAGAATGTAGAATGTTCAGGTTTTCTCATTAACTTTCTCTGAACTAAAAATGTCAAAATAAATTAAGATTGTTTTGTGGAAGTTTTTTCTGGGAGGTTTTTAAATGTCAGTATTTTTTCATGTTGTTAGCTTAGAAAACACTTCAACAAAAGCATATTATTAGAAGTATTGCAAGTGCGGCAATGTTAAGAGATTCACTGTTAGCAGGGAAAGAATTGAAGGCTGCATCAGGGAAAATTTCAATTTTAAAATATTGAAAGTCAGTAAAATGAGCTTTTAAGGTTATTGTATAAAAGACATTCAGTAGTAACAAATTCAAAAAAGAAAACACCTATAATCCCATGCACTGGACAAATCTGCTTATGTAAGTGTTCCATGCTACTTTCTAGACCTTGTCTGTGTGCATAAATACAATTTTGTATCTTGTCAGTTTTTTAATTAACAGAAATGTAAGTGTTAAAGTTAGAGAAACCCACAAAACACTGGGGCCCAGGTTATTAAAAAGACAATTTAAAAGATATAACTGAATTTTGCTGGGTCTATCTTAATTGCATTATTAATGAACTGCTATGTCTTTGCTGTGTTTGAGTCTGTGCCTTCCGGCTTAAGAAAATTATGCTTTTTATTATTGTTGATAGTAATAAAACTTTAAGATAACCTAAGAGCCCATCAATTTGGAATTGATTAAATTATGAATGAGACGGCATGCGAGACAGACATTTACAAGGACCTGATAGAATGATAGATGTTTCTATATTGACATAGAAAAATCTTCAAATATATTTCACATTTAAGGGGTGGGAAGGCGGGGCATGGTGGTACATACCTTGTAATCTAACTCTCAAGAGTTGTGAGGCAGGAGTTGCTGGAGTTTGAGGATAGCCTATACTACACAGCAAGTGTGAGACCAGCTTGTACCACATAGTAAGATACTGTCTGAAAATCAAAATTAAGGGGATTGCAAAAGTTATATAACAGTATATATAATATGGTTTCATTGATGTTAAAAATTATGTTTATATAAAATCTGAAAGGATGAAACCAAGCTGAGAAGATGAAATTAATGGGGGGAAAAATGTTTTATTTTGTTTTGTTTTGTTGGTTTTTTGAGACAGGGTCTAACTGGCCTTGTTCCTCCTGCCTGGGCCTTCCAAATGCTGGCGTTACATGCATGCAGTAACCACGCCTGTCCTGGTCTTTTTGTTTGTTTGTTTGTTTTGAGATACAATCAAGGACAGTTCAGGCTGTCCTTGAACTGACCAGGAAGCCCAAACTGACCTTGAATTTGCAGCAATACTCCTGAGTTTTGGGATTACAGGCATCTTCCATCACTCCCAGCTTTGTTCACATAGTACCAGGGAAATGGTTATTTCCATTTTGAAAAATTTCAAGCATTTATGCAAATACTTTTGGAATTTTATAAATAGTAATTATTCTATGGAATTATCTTTATTGTAGGTTTTCACTGAGCAACATAATTTTCATAAATAAATATTTCCTTAAAAACCCATCCTTTTAACTAATAGACATCCAAAATTATTTATTAACTAAGACTTGATTTTTTTTTAGGTATTTGTGCTATTGTTTCATTCCCACGCAATAATCACTATAAAATTTGAATTTGTTTTTTAACCTGCCTGGCTTTGGTGAGGTTCAATTAAACTTTACAACAGCTAAAGTATAAATAATTTAGAAAATCTCTACTGACAAATAGAATGAGCAGTGTTATTTCATTAATGAAACACCAAGATTGTGTTATGATTGGGCAATTGCTTTTTAATGAAAGGAAGTTTAATGGGGAAAAACATATAACAGAAAATGCTATTGGGTTTCTTAAAACAGTGGGTATGTATATAGTACATATAGAGTCAGAACAGTAGAATAGCAAGCTTGATGGCAAATCCTTTACATTTTTATCTTGTAAGAATATTCAACATGAGATCAACCCTCTTTTAAGTGTATAATGTTAGCTGTAGGTCAAGGTTGTAGAACAGATCTCTTGATCTTCTTCATCTTGCACAATTAATTGCAACGTACACCCATTGATTAGTAGCTCACATTATTCTCTCCCAGGCCCTAGCAGCCACCATTCTACTTTCTGGTCTACAAGTGTTGACTATTTAGATGTGTCATTTAAGTGGGATCGTGCACAATTTGTTCTTCTGTGCTGGCCTGATTTTCATTTAGCATAAATTTTCCAGGTGTTGTTTCTCTTGCTTTCTCTCTTTACTATAAATGAGGTAGGAGCAGCGTGGGCAAGAACTTTCATAGGCAGGTTTATAATAACATTGATATTGTCAGAAGAGGAAACAGGGTGCTGCAGTTATTAGAATCAAACTTACCTGAGGACCTCCCTAAGATAACTCGAAGGCAGTGCCATTCTTATGTAGTGGGCTCAAGTGAAGTCCAGCTGCATCCCTGACCTAGGATGTTGCCATGACCCCACTATTAGTCAAATCCATGGAATATTCCTAAAATACTTAGCCTCTTGGCTTAATCACACAGTACCCCATAGCTTGTTGCTTGCCCCTTGTGCTTGCATGGCTGACTGAGAGCTGCAGCTCACTGCGGCTGCTCAGTATTGTATTGCAAGATCATACCACGGATCACTAGCCCAGAAAAGACCAGAATTCAAAATTTAGAGTGTGGCTTCTGCTGAACCTGTAACCCTTTGTACTGTCATAAAGTCAAGCTATCTCAAGTCTATTGCAACACTGTAGAGGAAGAAAATATCAAAAAGCAATTTGATTTTAGCACATTATTTTAAGATTCTATTTGTATGTTTTATATTAAGCATACTAGTAGAGGAATTGTGCAGCGTATTTATAAATATATACGTACTACCTGCCAGCACATGCTTGAACACTACTGATGAGAATGGGAAGTGGTAACTGTTCTTTTCAGTAGGAACTCACAAGGTCGTAATGCCATTTCTGGATACATCTTTTAATGGCTCCAAACACTTAAATTATAGGCATCCAGATAAGTGCAGCAGATGGGTCTCTAAGGAATGGGAATGATGGGGAAGGAGCCAGAGAAGCTGGCCATAACAGAATCCTGGTGAGTGGTGGCCAGTATATGTGAGGGAACTTTTGAGTTGTTTTTACAGGAAAACTCAGAGGCCTTTGTCTTTTTACAGAAAGCAAAACTGTCCCCTCAGGACCTAGTTTACTAACCATCTTCCTGGGAGTGGTGTGCATTGCAGCCCTGATGCTGCCTACACTGGGGGACATGGAATCACTGGTGCCTCTCTACCTCCATTTAAGTGTGAATCAAAAATTAGTGGCTGCTTACATCTTAGGTAAGGGTTTTAAAGATGCATTTGGGATGTATGTAGGGTTTATTTGTGGGAGGTGGTTTATCTATTTATTTTGTCAACTAGATGGAGGATTGCTTCAAAGGCATGCTGAGATCAGGAGCATTTGAAAATATAAATTTTGTCTCATTATTTCTCTTAACCTTACTTACCTAGTAGCTTAAACTATATTTACTGACTTATTTTCCTTTTGCTGACTTGCAGTGGTGTAAGCCACATATAAAATGCACGTATTCCATGGTACAGTGCTTGTGCTTAGAAGATCGGCTCCAGAGAAACACTTAGCAAGGTGCTGAATGATGCAACCATATTTAATATTGTGAACATTTCTCTTGAAACCGGATCCCTATTTCTTGTTCAGTCATTCTTTCAGTAATCTGGCTTCAAAACTTCTATTAATAATTTCAATTGAGCAAACATATTAAGTACTTTCCATGTGTCAAGAATTGTGGTTGGGGTGATAAAGGACTCTTTCTTCATGTTCTCTTCTTTGTTCTACTTAGATGCCAACTCTTTTGAGTTGTTTTTGGTGTGCTCTCTTTTATCTTTTATTTCAAAATTATCTTCTAAATGGTCTCCCTTGCTTCTGTGTGTGCTCCTCCTTATTCCTTCTCCTCATCCTGTCCATCTTTCATATTGCTGTCAGGTTGCTTTCCATTCTGTTTTAATTTCATAGCTTTTCCCTACTCCAGAACCTTCAAGTTCTTCCTTTCCCATAGTCCACAGGCTGAATTTATAACTCCGCAGTCTGGCATTTAACAGTCTTCACAGTCTGTTTAAGATCTTGCGGAGCCAATCTTGTCCAGCTGATTCCCTATATAAACACTTGATTAGAGCCTGTTGGATTTTTTATTGATTTCAGAAAAGCTCATTTAGAGTCATGGTCCTCCTCCTGGACCCTTCTTTCCCCTGAAATGCCCGTATCTTTTTTTTAAAATTTTTATTGAGTTTATTGGTACATTTTAGGTATACAATACAATTACATTCATTATTGGGATCTTGTACATTTACATGACAGGTCTTGATTCTCATTTTTTCCCCTTGTCCCTGTCCTCCCTTCACCCCCTCCTCCCTTCCCCATTTACAAACACTTTATTTCCATTTTTTCATGTTCTCATATTTTTTCCTCTCCCTTATTACCTTTCCCCCACCCTTCCCACTTTCCCTACACCTTTAACCCTTTTCTTCCTATTTCACATTATTATCTCATTAGGATCTTGTGTACTATTATAGTTTTTCACATCAGAGAAACTATTCAGTATGAAATGCCTGTATCTTTTTTGTCTGTCTTTTAAGGCTCATCTCAGCTTTTACCTTTGGAAACAACTTTTCTGACTGCCACAGTCCTATGTGATCATCTTTCATCTGTGTCCTTTTTATGTGTTTGTTTCCAGTGCAAGGGCTAGAACCCAGGGCCTCGCACATGCTAGGCAAGCACTCTACCACAGAGCACCACCCCTAGCCCTGGACTGTTTGATCACACACTCTCCTCACCACTCATTTACAACTGTCATGTTCTTATTTTATTAAATGCTTATTGTTTTACATGTGAGATCTCTCAAGGAAAGCATGAATACTATGCTTCTCTCCCTTTCTAGCCCTAGGGCCTTATTACAAATAGGCTCTTGATGTTTCTGTTGATAAATTCTGTTGGCTTTGCCAACACTTTAAAATGGTATGTCTGCTATTATTATAGCTGATGTGACTGGATAAGGTAGGAGGTATGTTTGATGGTGGAATTAGCTATGGGCAGACATTAGTGATTTAATTGAATCTGTCCAGTAACTGCCCATTGCTATAAATTGGATTTCTTCTATATAATATCAACTAAATTCAAATTGACTTTGTGTTCTTAGAAGAGTGTCTGTCTGCCTATGTACTATATTTTATTTGTTCACTGAGGTCCAAATACTTGCTTCTTAAATGGAAGATTTTGCAAACTGCATGTCTTTAATTGTTCTCCAATATTTTTCTTTTAGGTCTTATCACAATGGCTATACTTAGAACATGAGCGAGGATTTCAGCTGACTTCTGAAGTAAATTTATCTTAAATATGAGTGTGGACTGCCTTTCTCTATTTCACTCCATTATCATGCTACACATAATTGAATGATTTCAAATAATTGTAAATGTATAATATATATTTTAAATTACTGTATAGTTTTATTTGAAGGACTCTATCTAGCACATTATGTTACAGACAGCAAGGATGCTTCTGAGTGACACTTAGGAAATTATTTGATGAAGTTCTTTTTATATCTATACCTATGGTACAAAAGATTTTAATTAAAAGATTTGTTTGTCATCTTTTAAAAATTCACTTTGATTGATAAGGGTCCTGGATCCTTCAAAGTTAAAGGTCTTGATGAGCAAACTTTCCAGCCTGAAAATCAAATTACATTTATTTCCTAGTTATGAACATCAACATAACTATCTGAATTATACTTTGCCCTCTGTTATAAAGAGTTGCTATGGTGTTTCTAAAATAAGAGTTTTATAGTTAATGTGTAGAAGGTTAAAAAAGGGGTAAGGTACTAAGGGATTGTGCTTATCCTAGGGTCTCACAGAAGACACAACATATTTAATTCATTTTGTGAACTACAGAATGGGTTGTGGTCCAGACACAAAGCATAGGGAATAGGTTGACATCTCTGTTTGGTCTAAGAGTTCTAAAGGAAGGCTGGCATTTGTTTAGTTAGTTGGTCCAGGCTGCCTTTACCTCTGATTAATGCTTTATGTTAATGGGAGGATCACTTTATCTTTTCTCCTGAGTCCCTTGACTGCCCAACTGTAAGTGATTTGTCCGGATTGGGATTATCAGATACCAGGTGGTTTGTGTGAGGATGATTTTTCCTTTCAGACTCTAAGCCAAGTATAGGAAAACCTGGGTACCTGTGTCTACTTTGTATCTGTCACTGAGGCATTTTTAAGTTTTTATTTATTAAAATAACTTTACCAAAAAATCCCCTAAGCACAACTATTTACATTTCATATAGCCTCTTCTGATCTCTAACATATATATATATGCAGTTCTGACTGTAATTGTCATAGCAACTGATCATTTGTTTTAGAATTTTTATCGGAAAGCACAATGCATTGAGACTCTTGAAAATCATTTTTCACATCTTTTTTTTTTACAGAATGAATTTATGCACTGCTACTGTAGCATTCTCAAGGAATATGCATAAATACAAATGTATCCCTAAAGTGGGATTCTTGCAGGAAACAGTACTCTGCTTCTAAAAGCTTTTATGTCTAGTCTTTCATAGAAAATCATTGTTTAACCATTTGGGGAGCATAAATCATTTTAGGATCATGTCTGTACATTGTGTAATGACTGAAAAAGCACATCGATGTATTCTACCTTGAACTTTGTTAAAAAAAAAGCTTATGTTTGGAAAACTCTCTTTCTCTGTTTCTCAAGTCCTGTGTTGTGCACACACATGTGCTAGTGCACACACATATGTGTGATAACACATTGTAAAAAACAAATTACTTTAACAAATAAAGGAAAATGAAGACCCAAGTTTCACATTGATTTAAACATTTTATTTGGGTTACTTCTGAGGAACTCGGAGTTTTAGCTCTCAGGAAAAGGAGAACAGTGAAATATATGAGTTAGAAATTACCTGAAACACTGTTGAAGGATACAGTTGAGACTGAGGTGTGTACCATTAGTTCCAGTCTCCCATAAAGAAAAAACCTTTTACTGCTGTGATTCAAGGCGATGGACATAGATAGTGAGGAAAGAGCCAAAGTAGCCAAGGAGCCATAGGTATTACAAAGTTCAATCAAGGAACAAGCAGTAAAATAGTTGTCATGAAAACAAATATGATTCATCCTGAAAGCAGCTAGCAAACAGGAAACGCACAGCAAGAGACACAGCAATGGTTGTAATTATCTGTCACTGCAGGTGTTTCTGCCACCTCAAATCGTTAGGCCAGCACAATTCTGCCACCTGAGTTCACTTCAAAAGGGGTTATACAAAGTCAACATGTAAAGTTTCTGCTTTCCAGAAAGGACTCTGGAGGCGTGTGTCTCCTAATCATTTTCATTTACTGAGTGATTAAGTGGAAAGACTGTAGCAGCAGCAGAGGAAATACCTGTAGGGTTTCTGCATGGGCACAGAAAATGGTGCCAAGGTTTCAAAACTTGGCTATTAGGAAAAAGACTGAACATTTCAAGTGGCACCTAATGGCCTGCCGTTTAGAGAATGCATGCCGAAAAGGGAAAATTTAAGATTTAAGAAGTTGGTAAAATGAGGACCCTACGGCTACATTAGACAATTCAAAATGGAGGAACCCAGCAGAGACTAGCCCTACTGTTCCAGCAACAGAATGTCAAGTTAGTGATTATTGCATTAGGAAAATATTTGCTACACCTATAATCTAGAAGTGACAAACAACATACCAGAGCAGAACATTAGTCTCCAGGATTAAATACCAAGCAGAATAACAAAGAGTTGACCCAGCTACAGGCATTAGGATGAGGGCTTGCTTAGTTACCACATCAAAGGCTCTTTAAGTAAGCCATAAGCAGAGAAAGGAATAAATTAGGACGCTCTTGGAGCCCCTTTTTAGGGCCAACAGAACAAAACTGAATGGACTAAATCCAATTTGGCTGTTTCCCTTATTTTGTTCATTTAGTATTTCTCTGATTTGCTCATCACATGGTTAACCAACGGATCTTCAACAAATGAAACAAATGACACTCCCAGCTATGTCTGTTTCAGCGCCTAATAAAAACTGGAACCAGGTCAAGGAAGATGATAGTGGAGACTGTCCTGCTCACTAAATGCATTTTCCAATTAGCTGGGTGATTGCTTTGTGAATCACTGACTTAATGAGCATGCAAGCTGGGCAGTGTGAGGATGTGACCAAGGTAGGCAGGGGTGGGGGGGACAGGCTTGTTTCAATGAAGTGAATATAATAAATGATTTCCTAAGTCCACTAGGGTAGAGAAAAACAATGCAAAATCAATGTTGGCAAAATTAAGTGAGCTCTGCTAATGTTACAAAAAATGTGCTAAACCCTGTGATGGATGGCAGAATGCAAATTTGGCATACACACAGATGAAACTCCACAGTAAATTACTTTTGCACAATCATAAGTCACAGGAGGCAAGGTTAGGAATGAATTCATTTGGAAAATTTAAACAAAAGCTCTTAGTCTCCTGAGAATGTATTTTTGGAGCTAATCATTGAACTAACCTGTATCTTCTGCTGTTCTCAGGCTGTTAGGAAATGGATGTTTTCTGCTTTTTTTTTAATAGACTTTTGTAGAGTAGTTTTGGGTTCACAGCAAAATTATGTAAAAAATATAGCATTCCCATTACTTATATGCACAGCTTCCCCTGCTCTCAATATTCCACACCACTGTGGTACATTTGTTGCAACCAGGAGCTTACGTTAACACATTACACCCCCAAGTCCAGTCTACACTAGGGTTTGCCATTGTTGTGGTACACTGCATTTGAACAAATGTACAATGACATGTATTTGACAGTATCATACAGAGTAGTTCCACTACCCTAAAAATCCCTTCTCGCGTTGTTTGTTGCGGCCATGTGGATTGAACCCATAGCCTTCAAACTGAGCTACAACCCCAGCCTTTTTTATAGGGGGGAAGGGGGCATTTTAGGGGCAGGATCTCACTATGTAGTTCAGGCTGGCCTTGAACTCATGGCAATCCTACTTCAGTTACCCTGGTGTTAGTAATACAGGCATGCACCACCACGCCTGGCCCCCTTTTTTTAGTTTTAATTTTGAGACAGGATCTCACTAAGTTGCTAAGTTACCCAGGCTGGGCTCCAATTTGAGATTCTCCTGCCTTGGTATCCCACAGTATTAGGTTTACAGGTATGTGCCACCATGCTTCCCTGGGGTTTTCTTTTTTTTTAATTAATTTTATTGGTACAATTTATGTATACAATATGACATTGATCATTGGAAATTTGTACCTTTACATAATTTATCTTGATTCTTATTTTCCCCATTCCCCTGCCCTCCCTATTTACAAAGACTTTGTTTCCATTTTTTCATTTTCTCATAATAATTCCACTCCCTTCTTTCCTTTACCCTACCCTTCCCACTTCGCCTTTCAAATTTTTTTTCCTATTTCACAATATCTAATACACCTTTTGATTCTTACACTTTCAGTTTCTTACAACAGAGTTACACATCTGTCCTATTTATTTCACTTAAGAGTATAGCTTCAATTTGCATCCATTTAGCTATAAATGACTCAAATTCCTCATTCTTTATGGCTGAGTAGTACTCGTTTTTTATATTTAAAAAACCACATACACATACACACACACATCTTCTTTATCCAGTCTCCAGTTGGTTGGCAATTGGGCTATTTCCAAGTTTTACCTTTAAAAATTGTGCTTCTATGAACATGGGTGTACATATATCACTGTGATATGATTCTTTTAATTCTTTTGGGAAGATACCCAGCAGGGGAATAACTGGGCCGAAGGGAACCTCTAATCCTAGCTCTTTGAGGTATCTCCATACTGATTTCCACAGTGCTTGCACCAGTCTATGCTCCCACCAACAGTGGAGCAGGGTTTCTTTTTCCCCCACAGCCCCACCAGCATTTGTTATTGGTTGATTTCTGAGGTTTTCTTTTTTTAATTAAAAATGTATTATGGAAAAACATACACTTAAAAAGCCAAAAAAGAGTATCATGAACTCTTCCTATGTACCCATCACCTACCTTCAGATATTACCAGCCATGGCCATTTTTTTTTTTTTTTTTTGTACAAGGGATCAAACTTGGGTCCTTATGCTTGCGAGGCAGGTGGCAGCACCACTGAGCTAAATCCCTGGCCATCTTCTCAGTTATTTTTAAATGAGAGATTGAATTACTCTGCGGCAATAGTGTATTAATCATGAACTCTACTAGGCACTTTGTAAATGGTATCTATACCCTTGTTGCTCCCCGTATGGTCCAGCAGTATGAGAATCACTAGGGAGCTTACTAGCAATGGAAAACCTCAGACTCCACCCCAGACCAACTGAATAAAGATCAGCAGCATAACAAGATTCCCATGTGATCCAGATGTATATTAAAAGTTGAGAAGCACTGTCTGCTAGGCACAGGGTAGACACCAAGTAGACTTCTAACAATCTTACAATGACACTACAGGGCAGATACAGTATATCTTGCTCAAGTTATAGCTGAAATTGAGACATTATTTGGCTTTTCTGAGATGC